GTAAAAGCAAGTTCTTCTCTTCTTATTGGGAGTGTGTGTGTTCTCTAGTTTAACTTCAGGCAATCTTCCAGCAAGCTTAGGTGTTATTTCTGATCTTTTAACTTTATCTGTTTGAACTAAAACAATACACAAACTTCTTATGTGAGGGAACTAAAACAATAAACAAATTCTTAAATGAGGCATCCATTACTGAATCGACCCGTCATACCATGTGAACAAAGCTGGAATTATAAAAAATAAAAAATTAAATTTTGTCCACACATTTTGTCCTTATTTAACGGTTAGAATCGAGTCTCACATTCTCATTGTATGAAATAATGGCCCCGTTTGGAAGATAGCGGATTGAGGATAAATTAGCGGATTGGACTTAATTGAGAGGTTTGACCCGTCAAATCCGCTATTGAGCTTGTTTGGTAAATAGCTTATTTGATAAGCTTTTTAGGCCCAAAACTCTAATTTAGAAAAAGCTCATTAGAGGAGCTTTTTGGGGATAGAGGATTCACAATCTACAATTTTAATTTAGAACTTTTTACTTTGTATTATTTATTTTACAATCTACATTGGTTATGATGCTAACAAATAATAATATGTCATCCATATGATTAATTTATCTAGAAAAATATAAAATTCATAACTTCTTAATCAATTGTTAGTAATTTTTTTAAAAAAATATATTTATAAATTACCAACTAAAAAATATTAAATTTTAATATATTATTATTAAAAGAATACACCCTAAATAATAAAATGTCTGTATTGGTAATTTGCAATGTCAAACAGCTATAAACTTTCAGCTATTTACCAAACACTTATTTAAAAACCGCTAATGCAATCCGCTAGTCAAATCAGCTAATATAATCCGCTATCCGCTATCCGCTAATACAATCAGCTATCCGCTATCCGCTATCCGCTGATCGCCAAACAAGGCCAATATCCATTTGACACCCACACACACCCATTCACTTAATTTGAAAGTCTCCTAAAAGTTTGAATTCAATCGAAGTTTGAATTCACATAAAATTTGAAATATATGATAAAATTTTACCAAAATAATTATTTTATGGAATCACATTGTAATCGAACTTCTAATAAAAAATTTAATATCACATTGTAATCGAATTTCTAATAAAAATTTTAAAATGACTTTTATTTTGAAATGAATATAACGTAATTTATTATCAATCACGTGCATCATACGAGTTGTGTACTAATTTAAACTGACATATTCTTAAAATGACATTTATTTTGAAAATAATATAATTTATATCAATTACGTGTACCATACAAGTTGTGTAAATTTTAAATTGACATGTTTTATGTAATTATGCACGATATAAATTCATATAACATTTTCAATAAATTAATATAGACAAATTGTATTGGTTCTATATTTTCAGTTTATAAATATTATTTGATGAGTATTTCTTAATTATAAATATTAATAAATATCGTTTACCCGAGAGAGGGGCTACAGAAAAGATTCTCTTCTAAATAATATAATATTTAATAATTATTATAATAATGTTATGAGGAAAGTTACAGAAAATATTGTTAAAATACTTTTCCGAGAAGGTTTTGTCGAAAACGTCAGAAAACATCTAAAAAAAATTGTTTTTTGGTTTTAACCCTGCGACACAGAAAATCTAAAACGGATCAGCCTGCCCCGTCTACGAATCTATTCTAACTCTCAACGAATTCCTAGAAATGTGGGTGGAATGGGGATTGTAATTCTTTCTACGTCTCGAAGTATAATGACAGACCGGGAGGCTCGACTAAAAGGAATCGAGGGATATGAGGCACCCCAGTTTACTTGGAATAGGAATCTAACTATTAGGAAAGTTCTTTCACTATAAATAATATTTATAACTAGATTTTTAATATTTTTTAACTAGATTTTTTCTTTTAACTATAAAAATGCAATATCATACAATAAGAATTCACACTTTTAAAAATAGCTTTGTTAATAATTAGTTATTTTAGCTCTCATTCGCTGACTTGTTGAATACCTTTTTTTTTTTTTTAATTTCAGTTTTTTAACAATTTTTATTTCTATAACATTTGGGTGATAAGTTTTGTAGAAGTCATTGTTATCCTAATATTAAATAACTTTTATCTCTAATATATAATAAGGGGAAATGCTACAGTCCTGTTACAGTCTAACGGTATTGTACACGTTAGATCATTATCTAACCGTCTACGGTTACAAACCCCGACAAGAGACCGTAAAATCTCCTTAGGAGTTTTATTTTATATAACATTCATGAACATACTATAGTATTGCAAACTAGAAATATTTTTGTGGTATTAAGTGAAGAAGACACACGTTTAAGTATATCTTATGCTTACTTTGCGAGTTAATTCCTATTCTTTGTCACACGTTTAAGTATATCTTATGCTTACTTTGCGAGTTAATTCCTATTCTTTGTCACCTGGGAGTTAGTAACGTATTTTTTAAATATAAATTCTGTAGTATCGCCTCTATATATAATACCCGAATGCGCTGAGTTTACGTGGTTGTTTCTGGTGCTTCGGAATTCTACTTGGCGAAAAATCATGCTTCGTAATTAGGTTTGGACAAATAATATTGATATATTAATAATTAATAATTTAGGTTCAGACATTCCATAAATATTATTAAGTTAACTTAGGTAATTTAGTAACACTTGTACTAATATAACCCTTTAATTCTTTGTAATTTTACATAGTGATCAATTAAATGTCTAATATATTCCTTACTTTTGATTTGCTTTCTTCAATTAGCTATTGATATTTTTTCCATTTGGATTTTATAGAAAATGAAACGCAACATTATTCCATCTTTAGAGTGTACATATTTGATTTGATTTATTCCCATTCCACGATTTCTCTTTCCACATCCCCTTCCCCTTATATATAATTCCCGAATGCACTAAGCCTATGTGGTTGCTTTTGGTGCTTCGGAATCCTACTTGGTGAAGAATCATGCTTCGTAATTAGGTTTTGACAAATAATATTGATATATTAATAATTAATAATTTAGGTTCAGACATTCCATAAATATTATTTAGCTAATTTAGGTAATTTAATATCAGTTGTACTAATATAACCCTTTAATTCTTTCTAATTTTACATTTTACATATATATAATTCTCGAATGCGCTGAGCCTACGTGGCTGCTTCTGGTGCTTCGAAATCCTACTTGGCGAAGAATCATGCTTCGTAATTAGGTTTGGACAAATAATATTGATATATTAATAATTAA